TTAAGATGAGTGGACTTCAACTCCCAGAATCCCCCTGCCATCCATGAGTTGAAGTCCACTCATCTTAAAGAGGCCAAGTTTGGACAACACTGCTTTAGAAGAAACATTCCTTGTTGAAGAAACACTTGACAACTTTAGTTGGTATAAACACCAGGAACGACTCCACCGATTGACTGGATTTTTTCAAAATCATCCATTTAGACATCAGTTCTGGGTTGCACCCATGCTTGTTTTGTATGCAAAAGCATTAGCAGCTGGTTGTAACATATGCTGGCTGGGGAATTCTGGGAGTTGAAGTCCACTCATCTTAAAGTGGCCAAGTTTGGACAACACTGTTCTAAAGCAATGATTGTTGGTACCATGTATATATTTCTTTTGCAAAAACAAAAACAGCCCTAAAATTGTCCCTAAACCCCAAGGAAAAAAATTCTGCCATGGCCAAGCAAGTTACTACCAAGTCCACTCAAGTCTTCAGGCACTACTAAAGAGATGGCCTGTGCTTAGTTGAACTCACATAAAACTCAACTGATTAAGAATGTGATCATTCATGCACTGTTATCAACAAAAGGATGGATCTGGAAGGGAGAAGAACATCATTATATCAGCAGTTATGTGAAAATTCATAGCAACGGGAAGTGACTTTATAGTCAAAGATGAGATTTTCAGGTGCCCATTCTCAGTGGTTTGAGACAAAAATGGCACAATGGGACGCAGGGGGTGAGGGCAAGGGGATCAGGTCCAAGTTGATCTGGGCGATCAGTTGGATTCCGTTTGTCCAGTTGAATCTGTTTAACAATTCAGACTGACTTAAAACATGAAGGTGATTTGAACCTTAGAGGTAAAGCATCGAATTGAGACAAGTGATTTCTCCTAACAGATTTGGGGGTGGGGAATGAGATCAGACTTTGGCACAAGCATGAAATCCCATTCAAACTGTCAAATCAATTCAAAGGCATTCAACTTGATCCACAATTATCAACCCATCCAACTTGATGATTTGAGCCATAATGATCAACCCATCCAATTTGATGATTTGAGCCATAATTACCAACCCATCCAATTTGATGATTTGATCCACAGTTATCAACCCAATAGCATCCATTGATTGGATCTGAGGATCTGACTAAATCATCTTCAGATGAAATCTCCAAATCATTTTTTTATACTGTTATAGGGCAAACCACCTACATCGCTCCCTATCTTTAGGAAGAAAAGCAGGGTAATATCCCCCAAAATAAGTCAGGTATGCTACAAGTAATAACCAATTCAGAGACTAAGCTTTTGAGATACTCCCTGAAGGAAGAAATGGTGCTTTTTTCAGCAACCCCCTTCCGTTAAAAGGACCACTGCTACGATACAATTTTTCATCAGTTTTAATCAATCTTTCTTAAGTTTCCCCCATAAAACAAATGAATGAACTCCAAAGGGGTGGTGGTGGTGGTGGAGTGATCAGCGTTTCCTTTCTGAGAACTTTTTTAAAGGAAAGGGAAGCGATTCCAACACTCCCCACCCAGCTGCCCCAGTATTGGCATAAAATATCTGAATAAACCTATCTTCTCCACATCAGGAAGAGCCACCACCGCATCTCCCCAGAATCCAGCCAGAAAGAAACACTCCGCTGGAGATTTTTTCCCAACCTAAAGCCCCAATTCGGTGGATTTTATTTATTTATTTTGTGCCTTCGAGTCAGGCAAGTAAATGGAGAAAACCACGCAATTTTCTGAGTAAGATTTTTCAGAAGAAGAAGACTTTGCCTCCTTCTTCCCAGAGCTGAGGAGGTGTGACTGGCCCCAAGTCCCCCAGCTGGCTTCGTGCCTAAGGCAGGACTGGAACTCAGGGTCTCTCAGCTTCTAGCCTGACTTTAACCACGACACCACCCTGTCTCTCCAGATGGATTTATCCCTCTCCATTGCACCGAGAAGCACAATCTTGTCCAAAGATGCATAGCCAGCCATGAGCTACTGACCCCTCTGCTCCCGCCCTACCAACCAACTTCTTTAATCTAAGATCCTTTAAAAAACATCCTTTTCCAACACGCACCTCTCTGATCAGTTGGGACCAAGGCACCCCCAGAACAGCACTTCTGGCAGAAATCCAAGGCTCCCCTCAACTGAATATACAGGCACATTTAAAAGATGCTACCATTCAAATCCCTGTCTGGGAACGGCAATGATCATTGCTAGCTGGCATAGCTGTTGTATCTCTTTGAGCCTCTAGCAGCGTTTCTCAACCTCGGGAACTTTAAGATGTATGGACTTCATAGCTGGCTGGGGAATACATAGCTGGCTGGGGAATTCTGGGAGTTGAAGTCCACACGTCTTAAAGTTCCCGAGGTTGAGAAACGCTGCTCTAGCAAGCAAGGTTGCTGAAGATGCTGAAGAACAGAGGACTTAGTTCAGAGTCAACCTCTTAAGAAACCCCATCGTTTTAGGGGACGGGGTGATGATGGGAGAAGAGGAGGGGAGTCTTTTTAAAAAAAATTACTCGTGCATAAAGCAGATTTGGCGGCAACCAAAGACCTCGAGAGGGCCACTAAGGGCCCCCACCCCCCGGTCTCTTTACTGCCCAGCCGCGGCGGATGGGAGTGTGGCAATCCTGTCTTGGCTGAACTCCAAATTGAAAGAGCAAAAGAAAAGCCACGGGCAGGTCCGGCCCGATCCCCTCGGGTGGCAAACGCCGCAGGGCCAGCCTGCCACCTCCCCCGGTCCTTACCTTCCCCTCCAGCTGCATTGATCTTCTGAGTAACTGCAAAAGGCCGGGTCCAGGAGAAGGAGAAGGAGAAGGCCAAGCAAACGCGGGGCCCAAGGCATTCTTCCACCCGCTTCCCTGGAAAAAGCAGGACGGCGCAGCGCGGAGTTCAAATATAAGGCACTTTTTCCTGCCGCCTCTCCAAACGCGTGGGAAGCCTCACCCGCGCCGCCGCTGCTCTATCCCCCATCGCCGCCGCCGGGCCAGCGCTTCCCAGCTTCTGCAAAAGGCTTTGGTTTCCGCTCCCTTTTTCTCGGGGGATGGGGGTTGCAAAGGCACGGGGTTTCGCCCCCGCAGCGTCCGCGATGGAAACGGCACCTCGGGGCGAGACGCGCCGAAGGAGCGCTGGTCAGTTTCCAGCCAAGCGAAGGGAGCAGCCGGGGCGGGGCGAGAGGGGGAGATCACCCAATCAGACCCCGGCTGGGGCAACTTGGAGCCAATCGGGGCGGGGGCCGAAGGGAGGAGGATGAGTCGCAGCCGTTCGGGAGAACAATGCGATTCAGTAAACCGGAGTGAAAAGGGTTCGGGTCCAGATGCGAGGTCGGCAGCCAGGGCGGGATTCGGAAGCCCTGCAGCGCGCGCGACAGCCCGGGCAGGATCTCCGTCTTCCCCCTCTGCCAAAGCGGGGGCTGTTCCTTTCCTTTCCTTTTTTTTAGGGGGATATGGGGGTGGGCATTGCCAGCACCCCACCCGACCCCCCTT